AATCATTCAACCATTCCTCCAAATGAGTAGTGACATTCTAAATAGCAACTAACCAATTCAACTAAGCAATGAAAGTTCATAAGTTGTTTTCTCAACTCTCCACTCACTCACAAAAGATGTGTGAGTATAACAAAACAATGCACTTAAACCTGATAATTCTCTTGGCTATACATATTGAACATCCATCTAACCATAAAGCTTAGTATTGTGCGCAAAAAGTTTTTAGAAGTTACTCTTCAATAATCAAGATAGAGAAAGTGACTTAAACCAAGTAATTTTGAAATCATACCTAGGTAAAAAATCAGAAATAATCATGCTTTGCAAACCCTTTCACACAAGAATTACCAAAGTCTAAGGTAATTTTTTTTTTTTTTTTGAAGAGAATGTTTATAAAAAGTGTGCCTAAAATGTGTATGCAATGCTATCACCCCCAACCTAAACAAGACAGTGTCCTCACTGGCATAAAAGAAACAAAGGCAACCCTAGAATGTAATAACTAGGTAAGGAAACCTAAAAAAAAAACTAATAAAAGAAAAATTACTAAAAGAAAATAAGAAAAAAAAATGATAGTATGGAAAGATAAAACCTAATTATGTCTCTTAGATTGGAGTCACGAGAGTGATCTCCTCAGGTTGGTCTACTCACTCCACATATTGCTTCAGTCGTTGTCCATTAACTCAAAAATTTCTCCCATCGATTGGATCCTCAATCTCAACCGCACCATTAGGGAAAACTTGTTTCACCACAAATGGCCCTGTCCATCTAGACCTTAGCTTTCCTGGATGAAGATGCAACCGAGAATCATAAAGATCCACTTTTTGATTTGGCTCAAAGTTCTTCCTTAGGATTTGCTTGTCATGAGCTACTTTCAATTTAGCCTTGTAGATCCTAGAGTTATCATATGCATCATTCCTCAATTCTTCTATCTCTGATATTTGTAACTTTCTTTGGGTACTTGCAACATTCAAATCAAAATTAAGTGTGTAGTAGCCCAATAAGCTTTATGTTCAAGTTCCACATACAAATGACATGCTTTCCCATATACAAGCCGATATGGAGACATCCCAAGAATAGTCTTATAGGCAGTGCGATATGCCCGCAGTGCGATATGCCCGCAGTGCGATATGCCCACAGTGCGATATGCCCACAATGCATCTGAAAGGCGTAAAGACCAATCTTTGCGGTTTGGGTTTACCGTTTTCTCTAAAATTTGTTTTACCTCCCTATTGGCTAATTTAGCTTGTACATTAGTCTGTGGATGGTAAGCAGTTGACACCTTGTGAATAACACCATAACTGCACATCAAGGCTTCAAAAGAACGGTTACAAAAATGTGTCCCTTAATCACTAACAATCACATGTGGTGTACCATACCTAGATAACACATTGTCTTTCAAAAACTTAACAACTACTTTGTTATCATTGTATGACAAGGTATAGCATCAACCCATTTAGACACATAATCAACAACAAGAACAATATAAAAGTAACCAAAAGAAGATGGAAATGGTCCCATGAAATCAATACCTTAAGAATAAAAAATCTCAATGACTAGAATTGGGTTAAGAGGCATCATGTGACAACGAGTTAATGCACCTAACTGCTGGCACCTATCACAGGAACGACAAAAAGAATTAGTGTCCTTAAACAAAGTAGGCCAATAGAATCCACTTTGCAAAATTTTTGCAATAGTTTTCTTCATAAAAAAATGGCCACCACAAGCTTCAGAGTGACAAAAGTTAAGGACACTATTAATCTCATATTCGAGAATACACCGTCTCATGATTTGGTCAGGGCAATACTTAAACAAATAAGGATCATCCCAATAAAAATTTCTTACCTCAACCAAGAACTTACGCTTATCTTGTGCACTCCAATCTGATGGAATTTCACCAAAAACCAAGTCATTAACAATGTGAGCATACCATGGAACTTGGCTAATAGTGAGCAAATGTTCATCAAGGAATTCATCTCAAATTAGTGAACTTTCAATATTGGAGTCATTAGACTCCAATCGAGACAAATGATCAGCCACCACATTTTCAACACCCTTCTTGTCTTTAATTGTGAGATCAAATTCCTGCAAAAGTAAAATCCACCTAATCAGACAAGCTTTAACATCGTTCTTAGATAGAAGGAACTTAAGAGTTGCATGGTTAGTAAACACTATAATAGGTGAACCAATGAGATAAGAATGAAATTTATCTAATGCAAAAACAATAGCTAGTAACTCTTTTTCAATTGTAGAATAATTCCTTTGAGCACTATTAAGAGTTCTACTAGCATAATATACAACAAAGGGCTTCCTTTCCCTTCTTTGGCCTAAAACTGCTCCTACAACATGGTTACTAGCATCACACATAATTTCAAATGGAAGACTCCAATTTGGTGATTGTATGATCGGCGCAGTAGTTAATTTGGTGACAAGGGTTTGAAAAGCTTCTTCACATTTAGGAGTCCAATTAAACTCAACATCTTTGGCTAAGAGGTTACACAAAGGTTGAGCTATGGCTGAAAAAATTTGAATGAATCTCCTATAAAAACCAGCATGTCCAAGAAAATATCGAACATCTTTTACTGTTTTGGGTGTAGGTAATTTAGAGATCAGCTCAATTTTGGCCCTATCAACTTCTATTCCTCTTTCAGACACAATATGTCCCAAAACAATACCTGAAGACACCATGAAATGACATTTTTCCCAATTAAGCACAAGTCCTTTTTCCTAGCACAAGTCCTTTTTCCTAGCACAAGTCCTTTTTCCTCACACCTAATTAAAACAGTTTTCAAATTAAGTAGGCATGAATCAAAAGAATCACCAAAAACAATCAAGTCATCCATAAAAACTTCCCTTATTTCCTCAACCAATTCAAAAAAAAAAAAAAGCTAAGCACACAACGTTGAAAAGTGGCTGGACCATTACATAAACCAAATGGCATTCTACGAAAAGCATAAGTACCAAAAGGACATGTAAAAGTAGTCTTTTCCTGATCTTCTAAAGCTATCTCAATTTGATAATAACCCGAATAATCATCAAGAAAGCAATGGAAAGGATGGCCAACAACACATTCTAAAATTTGGCCAATAAATGGCAACAGAAAATGGTCCTTCCTAGTGGTTGCCTCTAATTTCCTATAATCAATGCACATGCGCCACCCAGTAATTGTCCTAGTTGGTATAAGAACTTCCTCATCATTTTCAGCTACTATTACCCCTAATTTCTTTGGCACTACTTGAGTAGGATTCCCATTTACTATCAGATGTAGGATATATGATTCTTGCATCTAACAATTTCAAGACCTCTCTTTTCACAACTTCTTTCATTGTTAGGTTCAATTTTCTTTGAGGGTCTCTACGTGGGATAGATCCTTCTTCTAAATGAACCCTATGAGAACAAATCAACGGGCTTATACCTTTAATGTCAGCTATAGTCCAACCTAGTGTACATTTATGTTCTTTTAATATATGTATCAATTTCTCCTCTTGCTCAGCACTAAGTTTAGAAGATATTATAACAAGAAAGGTATCACCTGGACCCAAGAATGCATGTTTCAACCCTCAGGAAGTGGGGATAACTCGACTTTTGGTGTCTCTAGTGAAGATGGCTTTAGTTGTTCCCTTTCACATGGTAACTCCTCAAAGTGCGGTTTCCAAAACATCTTTTGATTATCCTGGTCAGTAGTAGCAATAACAAAAACATTAGAAATACCATTAACAGGATAAAGCAAAAAGTCAGAGTTTAAATCAAAATTATAAAGGAAGTGTTCCAAAGATTTAGAATTTTCCCTTTCTTGTACTTCCTCAACAAGTGAATATATCATGTAGGAATGATAACATTCATCATCTTCTTGTGGTTGCTTCCCAACATGAAAAATATTCACCTCAAGAGTCATGTTCCCAAATGAAAGTTTCATCAAACCATTCCTACAATTAATGAGAGCGTTAGTTGTAGTAAGAAATGACCTTCCTAAAATAAGTGGAATTTTCGACTCACTATTAACTTCAGATTGAGTGTCTAACACAAGAAAATCAACAGGATAATAAAATTTATCAATCTGAAGCATAACATCTTCTATTATCCCTCTTGGTTTCCTACAAAAACGATCAGCCAACTATAACACCATAGATGTGGGTTTTATCTCTTTAAGACATAGTTGCAAATAAACTAAATAAGGCATTAAATTCACACTTGCTCCTAAATCCAAAAGAGCTTGACTAAACTCTTGTGACCTAATTTGGCAAGCAATTGTTAGGCACCCTAGATCTTTGTACTTTGGCGGTGTTTTTGCTCAATTATCGCACTTACCTATTCTGTTAAAAATGTAGTTTTCTTGACATGGTGTTTCCTTTTCATGGTGCATAGATCCTTGATCACTTTGGCATAAGTTGGTACCTGTTTAATCACATGCAACAAAGGTAGATTAATCTTAACTTGTTTCAAAATTTCTAAAATCTCACCTTGGTTGTCTGAAATCTTTCCAGTTTTAAGAGCTTGAGGGAAAGGAACTCGAATTGGGACCTCCTTCTCGGGTTCTTCCAACAAGTCGTCTTCATGGCTACTTGGAGTAGCATCCTTCAATTTAGGTGATTTTTGCAACAGCTCTATAACTTTACCAGCATGAGTAGTGATTGCGTTGACCTCTTTAATGTTCTCCGAATAAGAGGTAGATTCCTACACAAAGTGTAAATTTTTAGGATTAGCTTGAGGTTGAGATGGAATCTTACCTCGTTCTTGGATAGTAAGAGCATTGGTCAACTTAGTTAGTTGACTCTTGATATCCTTATTTTCTTCAACCACCTGTGTAAGAATAGAATCAAACTTTTGATTAGTCTTATTTTGTGCCTCCATAAATGCCTTAAGTGTTTCCTCTAAAATATTCCTATTTGGTCTTGCATTGTATTGAGGTGTAGGGTAAGACCTGAGTGGTTGAGCTTCACTATTCCAAGTATTGCTAGATGATGTGGGATGGTTCTGATTAGCCTTCCAACTAAAATTGGGATGGTTCCTCCAACTAGGATTGTATGTCTCTAAATAGGGTGAAAAAAGTTCCCTACCCATTCCTAATGCATTACATTGTTCTTCATACACGCCTCTCATCTCACCATAGGTTAGGCAATCGTGAGCTAAATGATCCAATCCCCTACAAACAAAACATGCAGCCTGACCTTCTACCTTGCAACTGTGTGGGTGATTATTATTTTTCATTTTTAATGTCTCAAGTTCCCTAGTTGCAGCTTCCAATTGGGCTCTAAGGTTATCTTCCTCCCTAAGGTGGTAAATCCTAAATGATCGTGACCTACTGGTACTATCAGTGGCACTAGGTCCTGTCCAAGTGTGAGCTTTTTCAGCTAACTAATTTAAATAATCTATGGCTTCTTCTAGGTCCTTATGCAAAAACCCCCCATTACACATCATCTTTATGAATTGACGCTCCTTACTAGTTAAACCCTCATAGAAATAACTAACCAACCTCCAAGTTTCATACCCATGATGTGGACACAAGTTTTATAATTCTTTAAACCTCTCCCATGCTTGGTATAAGGTTTGACTATCCTTTTGAGAAAATGTGGAGATCTGTCTTTTAAAATTATTAGTTTTATGGTGCAGAAAGTACTTGTTAAAGAAACCTTGAGTCATCTCTGCCCATGTACCTATAGATCTCGATCTCAAAGAATATAACCAAATTTTAGCTTTGTCTTTCAAGGAGAAGGAAAAGAATTTCAACCTAACTGTGTCTATAGCATTAGCTCGACTATGAAAAGTAGCTACTACCTCCTCAAACTCCCTAATATGCACATATGGATTTTCATTCTCCAAACCATGGAAACTAGGAAAAAGTTGGATCATTCCAGATTTGAACTCATAATGTGGTGTATTAGGAGGAAACATTATGCATGATGGTGTAGCTGTTCTAGTGGGGTGCAAATAATCTTTCGAAGTCCTAATAGGTTGATCCTCATCTTAACTCATGGTTTCAGAATTAAATGATGAATTAGACTCGACTTCTTCTTTTTGAAAGGGTAGTAGATCTAATTTACTAACCCTCCCTTTTTCATCTCTCAGTCAATTCATACACTCCAATGTTTTTTTTTTTTTTTTGAATGAAGAAAATAAAATAAAAGCAAGAAAGTAAAATAAACTAAAGAAAAGAAAAAAATAAAAGAAATAAAAAAAATAAAAGAAAAGTGAAAAATGTTCAAACTCTAATTGTCAACTTGGCTTCCCCGGCAATGGCGCCAAATTTTGATGTCTCGCCCCAAAATTAATCCCCTTCATCTAAGCAGTTGTTGTAGCGTAGCTTTAGGTATCGAATCCACAGGGAAACTATATTAAATCAACAAAAAGAGTTGTCACAATGAGAAATTAAATTAAAAGACAAATTCTAAAATTAAGAATAAAAATATTTAAATAAAAAATGATAATTATAAAAGATTGAAAACAATATTATAATGAACAAGACTTTAGGGTTCACTTAATTGATTTGTTTAACTGTTATAAACTTTGATTCCTATTTGTTATTCGATTGCATGTTTTACGTCCCAAACAAACAATCGAAAAATTTAACTTTGAAAACCAATAATAATAACTAATGTATTTATTTTGAGAGAAATTAATTTCAATGAAGAACAAACTGATCTATTATTACGAGTTATCCAAGAGCGACAATATATGGTATCTAATCAACAATACTGCAGTAAATGATCAACCCGCAAAACAAATCTACCAATCAATTATATTCTAACAAATCACACATAAAAAGAGCATGACTAATCTTATATGAAATTTGATAAATATAATTTTCAGGGTTTTCAAATTTGAAAATAATTAATAATCTCTCAAAAATAAAATTAAACAATAAAATCCATAAAGGAATCAAAATAAAATAACAAGTCAAAATCCTTAATTAAGATCCTCCCTAATCTTGTTAAAAGTTTAGTTGCCCTTTTGACATAATTCTTTAGCCTTGAAAAAGAAGAAAATAAAAGCCTAAGAACTAGTTTTCTAGATGCTAAACCTAATTTTCAAGGCTCCTATTTATATTAGAAATAAAATAAGAGTGTTTAATAACTAGGATAGCAGCCCTGGGGAATTAATTTTATTTTTTCTTTCTTCCTGCACAATTGGTTGGACAAGGGTTGGAACCTCAATCAGGTGCAGAACCCTGCATAATTCTGTTTTTGTGCCGCATTAACCAGGGGTTGGAACCTGCTTCAGGGTGCAGAACCCCTGATGTTTATGTTCTTCCGTTTGCGCTGTTCAAAGCATACTTCACGAATTTTTCTCTTGATAAAAAATGGGGAAATCCAACTTGGGCCTTCAAACTTCCAAATTTACTACTTGGCTCCTCATCTTTCCAACTCTTTGCATTCAAGTCCTTTTCTTCTAATTCTCTCCATTTAATCATCAAACCTTCAATCACCACAATATTTGCACAACATGAATATAATGAACACTTATGAAATTACATGTGAAAAATAAAACTCTTAAACCCATAATTCCACAAATGTTAATAATTAAGCACACTTTAAATATATATTTTCTTTCTTTCATCAACAAGTGAAGTAACCAACGAGGGGTTGGATCAAGTG